GCCTTTATATGGTTGACTGTTGCCCTGAAAGTCGCCATTAAAAATCGTTTAAAATTTGTGTTTCTTTTTTGTTTAAATTGGTACATTTTCAAAAGTAATAAATGTCGACTTTTTTCATGACCCTTTTAAAATTAAAATATCCAAAACAGATTCTAAAAGTGAAATTTTCTCAAGTCCAAACACACAAAAGTATACAAGACAAATGTGTAAATGAAAGTAAAGTTTTAAAAATCTCTTTATTAATGAGCCAACAAAATTGAAAAAATTAAGAATACATAATTATCAAAAAGTATATCTTATATTCATAGGTTGGGAACTTCGTCTCAGTTGTAAAAAGATTAAGTAACAATTTGCAGCAGCCAATCGATTTCTCTATTGCATTCAAGACAAGTTGAAGAGAGATCCTGAAATAAAACAAAATTAGGTTAGCTGCAGCGCTTGGCCCAGAAATTGTATTAACCTAACCTAACCCTAAGATAATTTAAAAAATAATAATAATACTTTTGCTGAAAAAAGGTGGTCATGGACAAAATTGATAGGAGGGGGGGAGGGGGAGGGGGAGAGGTTGGGTCCAAAAATTGTATAATAGGACAGAATCAACTTAGTTAATTTAATAAAATAAAATAAAATGGTAATCATACCGAGATTTTCACTGTCCACATGTTGATTGTTGACACATAGTATTTACCAAAATATCGCAATCATCCCAAGAGATTTAATAGTTTGAAAAGTCTTCCAACTTTAATATGTTCTTTGTGTGTAAGGGGCAGGGGCGCAACTAGACATTTGTTTAGGGGGGGCTAGGGGGAAATATTTCGCGCGAAGAGCGAAAATTTTTTTGGCCCCCCCCCCAAACTTTTAACTAGTATGTCTGCAATATTTGTAAACAAACCCCCATAAATTTGTACAGAGTACAAATATACTTGCCGCAAACCTTTATATCCAATGTACTGTATGTCAGTAGCTAGTCCATAGCTAAATTGCCATTTTCAATTTCAACTGTTACCCTCCGGTATGGTGAAGACGACATGAACAATCTTTTCTAATTTATCTAGGACTATAACCTAACCCTAAAATAATAAAAAATAAAGAATAATAATTTTGCTGAAAAATAGGTGATCATGTACAAAATTGATAGGAGGGGGAGGGGGGAAGGGTTCAAAATGGTATACTAGGACGGACCCTAAATATTTTAATACTATGAAATTCTAAATATTGATTTTAATCTAATCTGGATTACTAAACAAATGATTTGAAAAATCCTGGAGCAATATAAATTAGTCAGAATTCATGAAACCTCGATATATTAATTTGTAAATCAAGTTTTAAAGCACAAAAAATTAATTTCCTTGTGATTTTCCATTTTGTTCAGTTCCTTAAATATTTAATATTATTTAAATACATCTAATTCAATTAAATGAGGTTTAATATTTTAAAAAGATGGGAACTTACTCTTAGAGCTAGCTCTTGTGTGAAAAAGAAGGTTATTTATTGTGACATATATATAGTGCAGACAGAATAAGTTTTAAAAAAAGAATTCACTTAAGTAAGAAGAGGATTAAAAATCATAAAAATCTGAAACTGTTTGATGCAGATTCCAGGGGTTTGATCCTAAAACAAGGTGTTATAATTGTATCTAATTGTTATTTTGAAAGAATAAATATAGGACTATTATTTTGAACTGACTGCTAAAACTTTGTTTATTTGCTTTAATTTTTCATGTCGAATCAAAGCAATTTTCTTAATCCAACGCCCCCCCCCCTCTAGTGTAAGCTCTATATTTGACGATTTTCAAAGAAAAAACGATTAAATTATTTGTTTTCTGGGCAAAATTGTTCATCTTTAACACTCAATAAACCGTTCCTATAGGGTCATGTAAGTTGTCACAAAAAGTATAAGTATATGTATAAACAAGCAAAGTATAAGTGTACATAGATATCTATACTTAAACGTCCAGTTCAATGTGATACATTTACAAAAGAGAAACTTTAAATTGGAATATAGTAACTTTTTAAAGTTTTTAATCATCTTTTTTTCCGTCTCAAAACATACTGAATCTGTTCTTTATTTTTATGAACTTTTGACTCATAGATGGCTTAACAAAAATGTTTAAGACTGATCAAAATGAGCATGTTTCAAAAGTGTGTTTTCTAAAAAATTGCTTAAATAAACTTTTGTTAAAAATTTGAATCTGCAAAAGAAATAGGCCTGGCATACTTTTGAACATACAATTTCAAAATTCCATTAACTTTCTGGATTTTCAAGAAGTACACACTTCAATGTTTAAAAAACAACAAAAGATATTTCCATCACTAGCTGGAAAATTTTCGTTTGATACTCATAATCCCAGGATATTGATCTCGATATCCACTGTGGAAACTTCTAATTTGAGGAGCTATAAGAAAAACTATACCTTTCCATATCTTTTCATTTTAGTAATTCCTCTCCTTGTATCCATGTATTCTTGTTTACCCTTGTATAGAAGTTTTCTTATATATCCTTGTATCCATATATTCTTGTTTACCCTTGTATACAAGTATTCTTATATATCCTTGTATCCATATATTATTGTTTA